AGGTCGGGGCCCCACGTTTTGCCTCTCCATGGAGCCAGTCCGACTGTTTGCCCAGTGAGAGTGGCGAGAGGGCTCGCCTCCCTCCATTTGCATTGAGCGCCCCTGCCGGGTCCAGCCTGCCGATGGGACCCGCTTAGCTGCTGGGAGACTTCTTCCCTTCTTTGTTGGTTGGATCCAGAGCGTCGCTCGTAACGCCGCCTGGAGGACACCTCCACATCTGCCAGCGTCTGTTGACGGGCAAGCTCATCCATGTTACCGTTAGACACCATTTGCTGGAAACCTTGAGCCAAGGTCCACAGAACTCGAGTTGCCTCCTGTAGGGCTTCCACCATGGCATTGAGTCGAGCCGGGTCCATGCGTGGAGCATGACGTCGCCCCCTGGTTGCGGGCCGAGCGCTCACCCTGGATGTGGTTGAGCGTCGCCCTCAGGTCACCGTGGCCTGACAACCGGTTCTGAAGGTCGCTTTGGCGCGCAGGCCCCTGTTTTGTCCATGGTTGTCGGGGGCACGCTGGCGGCTAGGCCGGGTGGATTCCTCGGTGTGGACTGAGACATGGTCACGTCGGGACGAGATTCCGACCATCTTCCTTTGTGGTTCCTACTCGAGCGATGTGAGAGACAATAGAGGCTCTCAATGAAATCACTAATGTTGGTCCAAAATAGGACGCTCGTAGGCTTTTAGGAAAGCTACGTGAGAACACTCAAGCAGGAATTAGGAAAGTAATACGAATAAGGAAAGAAGTTAAAAGTGTTTAGTTGCCAGAAATAGCCTCCCTATGTTTGAAATTTGAATTGCCTTTTATATGCGATTACAAATGGTAACTGTCGGACATAATAATGACTAAATTAATTACAACATTAATACGGAATTAAATACATAATTAATAATGCATTGATTGTTGGCCGTTACTCTTCCTGGCTGGCTAGTTGGTCGGCCTGGCAAGCAGGCAGAACGCTTGAGCTCCTCGGGCAGTAGGCTTCCGCTGGGCTGGAAGGCAGGCTCCTCGCTGGGCTGGAGGACATGCTCCTCGCTATACTAGGCTGAAAGGTAGGCTTTCGGTTGGGCCCGTAAGCAGGCTCCCCGCTGGGCTCGAAGACAGGCTTCCGGTTGGGCCGGTAGGCAAACTCCCTGCTGGACTGGAGGCAGGTTGCTGGTCGGGCTGGAGGCTGACTGCTGGCCGAGCTGGAAGGCAGGCCATCATGGGCTTCTGCTCCTTGATGGGCTTCATCAGTTGGGCTAGCTCGAGCTCTGGGTCGCTGGGCCTGGACCTGCTGGTCCAAGTTCGGGGTCTGGGCCGATTAGGTTCTAGGCCTAGTCCTGTAACCCCATCATTCAACTTAAATTATAATTGAATCTATTTTTTATTCTTTATCGATACATACCTAAAAGTTCATCAATCTAAATAAAATTAGTATATTTCATTTCATATAAAAACAAAAATATTTATTGCTGCAATATCGTTCATATTCATACACATTTTTCTTTACCAAATTGTTACCAAATTTTATTAATCCACATAAAATAAGTATATTGTATTTCATGATCATACATTTTTTCTACTTTTATTTATTTTCAACTGAAATTACTATATAATATATTGTTTCCATAATATTTTTTATATTTCATATTCATAATTTTTATTCTATAATATATTTGTTATCTCTTTGCAAAAAAATATTTCATCTCTTTGATATGTATTTAGTGTTTTTGAGACATTAAATTTGTTTATTTCGATTTAAATTTCATAAAACGTGAAATTATATTACATTTTTCATATGTTGAGTTATGTTTATAGATAATATCTGGAATTACATTTGATAGTATATGGAGTTACATCTTCTTATGAGAGAATTATATCTTCTTGTGCATGATTTACATCTTCCTATGTGGGATTTACATTTAGACTTGCCTCAACAAGTTACATTTTGCATACACCTAAGTTAGATCTTCAATCAACGCGAGTTACACTTTTTCATAACACGTAATACATCAAAAAATAAACCCCAACTATTGAAATAAAAAAATCAATTTTTTGCAAACAAAAATGATTTTTTGGCAAAAAAAAATGATTTTTTTGGTTAAAAAAATGATATTTTTGGTTTAAAAAACGATTTTTTGGCAAAAAGATATTTTTCTTTGAAACATTTTTATGGCCTTAATACTAAAAACAAAACATATTAACTATTTATTTAAGTAAATTAATTTGAGCAATTAAATTCTTTGTTTTCATTCTTTATATTTGATAATCTATGGATTTACGTATTCTTATGCACGAGTTACATTATTTTATGCATGCGTGAGTTACATCTTCTTATACACGAGTTACATTTTAACTTGCATTAAAAAGTTACATTTTGCATACACCTAAGTTAGATTTTTCATCAACACGAGTAACATTTTCTATAACATGAGTTACATCACATCATAAAGCCCTGCTATTAAAAAAAAGAATCAGTTTTATGCAAAAAAATATTTTTTGCAAAAATATTGATTTCTTAGGCAAAAAAGTGATTTTCTAAAAAATATTTTTATGGATTTGATATAAAAAACAGAACATATTCACTATTTAAGTAATCCCCTGCTATTGAAACAAAAAAATCACTTTTGTTTGCAAAAAAAATGTTTTTTTTGTCGAAAAAATGATTTTTTGGCAAAATAAATGATTTTAAGAGAAAAAAAACCACTATTTATGGTCTTATATTATAAACAAAACATATTCACTATTTAAGTAAAGTAATTGAGCAATTAGATTCCTTATTTTCATTGAAATCAATGTTTTATTTCTTATAATCCGTATTAGACAAGTTACATTTAAACTTGTCTGCAGTTACATTTTTTATCAGCGTGAGTTACATTTTTTTTACATGTGAGTTACATCATTCATGCTACCAGAACAAAAGAAAAAAAACAGTTACTGCACACACGTGTACTGTTCACGCGTGTACCGTTCATGCGATTTTAAAAAAAAAGTGCAAAACTACGTCGTTTTGGGGATAGAGCATGATGCTCACCGTGGGATGATACCACGGTATACGAACAACTCATACAAGCCTTACATCATACTCGCATGACAAGAATCATCCACACATTGATGAGACCACAAAGAGGTGATTTCTCTATCAAGAGCACCTTGAGAGTTTTAAAAGTTCACCAAATCTAATCCTCAAAGTATTTTTAGTGAAAGTTTATAGACAACGGTAACAAGATAAATAAAGGAACATCACGTGAAACTAAAATAGAGTAAGGACATATCCAAAATAAAACACTCAAAAACATGATAAAAATCAAATCGAACTCCAAATGGATCATACTAGCGAGGCAATCACAAATCCTATTTCTTCCATCTTAACTACACATTTGGAACTCCATGAGCTTCTCCCCTAGTTGTCGCAATGCCCCTAAGATCGGGACACCTAAAACTCTTCGCCTTTAACTTTTGTGGCTGGCCTCACAGCATGGCTCGTCTCCCCTCCTTTTATGGCACCCTTACTAACTCCCCCGTTCTCCTTTTCTACCCCCCAATCTAGTGTCTCGAGTAAGTGACTAACGAGTACTCCTCCAGTAATGCCACACCTTTTCAATTTTCTTCATCCTTGGCATTTTGTAGTTTCCCCATTTAAACCTCCACACCATCATCCATCCTCTACCCAACTTTATCGTCATTTCTCGTCCCACACGCTCTATTTCTTTCATTATCTGCTCAGAGCCACTAATCCATGACTTCTATATATATCTCCATTCCTGCTCATCTAGACGATAACAGAACCTATTTGCACAGTTGATTATCCCGCAAAGAAAACAAAATCCACTTCCCATACAAACAATTAACCCAAATCGAAACACCTTATTTCCTTCTCAATTTCACCCACATCTTCAAAGGATTTTGAGTGTTTAGAGATATATGTATACACTCTAGATACGACCCAATCTTCAATTCTCTTCATCAGTTGTGCTATCATAAAACACAAAGGCGAAGTGTGCTCCTAAAACCCCAAAATCACCACCATTCACCAACATCATCAACAGAAGATCTTCCTCCCCTATATGACACAATGTACGTGACAAAATTTTAAACATATAGCCATTGCTTGTCCCACCATTCACCAACATCATCAATAATTTTTACCCCCTTGATAATATATGATATAATATGATTTCGAGACTCTTACTACGTGTAATGAAAATAATGTAAAAAATATTGATAGTTTCGGGTGATGGCCCCATCCAATGCAAACAACCCCTATTGCACTACTCATATCTCTTGTTTACACACCATACGTACCCTCCTCTTTCAAATTCAATATTTTATACGGTCATTCCAAATGTTTATACGTTCCTTCCATACACTCGCCTTTATACATGCCATTCGGACCCCCCCAAAACCCTAATCCTTCCAAGGAGGCACCACCGCTTTTCGGTCGATGTTGACACAAAAACATAAATACAATTTTGATACTTTTGAAGCAAAAAATCACAAAATGCTTTTCAAAAGCTAAGGTATTGCAAACACTACGTACCCAAAAGGATAGTCCAAATAATTGTAAACCTTTTTGGGATATAAATATTTTTTAGTCTCTGTAATTATAGCGCTTCTTATTTTATGGAAATGCAAAATTATATATTTATTTTTCATCCATATAATTTAAAGTGCTTTTCATTTTAGTCCATCACTAATCTTAACCATTTGGTTTGACAATGGCACGACCCTTGCTAATATTTTTCTTATCATTCTTTGCCATGAAATTCCAAAAAAGACATTTTTCTTTTCTTTTCTAGGACAACTAAAAAACTTTCAAAAAATGAGTGATTAATTTTAGTCTATTTTAACTCCAATGTTAGCCCCTAAGAAATTATAAAATGGTGAACCTACAAGTTTACAGTAAGTTATGAAAGTGATATTAATTTTTTCTAAGAAGAGATTGTCCCAAATTAGAGATATGTTAAAAAGAAAATAGTGTATAAAGAAAATAAAATAAAAAATTATTTTGTAAGATCCAAAACAAAATGTGTTTATTTTGAAAATTAGACATTGCAGTCGTGTACCGATTGTTAGGTTCGCACTTCGCACTTTCGCAGCCAGAAAAGGCAACTACGGAGGTCACCGGCGAAGCTCAAGCCTTCAGTATTTGGCCGAAATTAGTAACAAATTCCGTACTTTTCTTCTGGGAGCTTCGAGGTGAAGAAAATGGAGGCCTGAAGAGTCACCAATCTCTCTGGCGCACTACAAACAACAGGACGGACGATGTCGAAGCTGACAATTTTCCTAACATTAGCATGGGCACTGAGCCTTCTCTATGGAGAAATGTTCTCTTTCTGGGTTCCCTTTCTCTGGACGTGCTCTTGGCCTCGCCCATCTTCTTCTGTAAGAAAAAAGAATCATACTATCCTTCTTGATTTTTGAGTTTCCCTTCCATAGTCCCATCAATGGGATTGAGGGTTGGATCAGTTAGATTTGGGATTACTTGTTGTCCAATAGCTTTTCTAAGATTCTGTCATAAGAATTGGTTTTCATTTTGTGCTCTTTTTATGGTTCTCTGATCATAGCTGCTTATTTACTATTGTCATAAGTTTTAATCAGTGACTTATTGGTCTGGGATCGACCTATATGAAGTGAAAAGAGAACATTAGAAAAGTTTCAATGTGATTCTTTCATGAGGATGATTACTTGAGTTACACTGTTGACTGACACTGACCACATCATCATTCTGGTAGAAAGGGTGAAGCTCTAGACTAAGAGGACAGTCACTGTGACACCAATGCCGCTATATGTTTGGTTGTTTTTAAATGGGAAATATTAGTGTATTAAATGGGACTATTTTCTTTTCTATTACAGAGTACATTTTTTACATATATTTACACTCTTATTTCAATGTTCTTGAGAGAACTACATGACTGATTTATGTCAAAGGAACCTGAAGCTATAGAAGCTACTAATATGTCTGGCATGAATGTTTAAACTTCTGGGAAGTAAATTTCGGAATGTAAGGGCATGTGGATGCTTTTCTTTATGCATCTTATTTTATTAGTAATTAGGTACATATGGTCTTATGTCATCTTCTTAAGAATTAGGTTTCTTTTTTCTTGTGCGTTGATGGTGTCTGACATTACTTTTTCTGTAACTTTAGATGGAGAGAGTAGATAATCCTGGTGATTATGTAAGAATTGCAGTCCTTACTGATCCTCAGGTAATCCTTTCAAAGTTAATAGCACATTTTCTTTATTCAACTATTCAAGTATAGGACAGTAGTACATAATCTACTGATCTTTCAGAAATCATTCTTATTTCTAATTGATGATCACCTTTAAAACTTTTAACAGCTTGTAGACAAAACATCCCTCCACCTTGCTCCAAAATCCTTTGCTCTAGAGATGGCTCAATTCTATACAGATTTGTTCATGCGCAGAGCATTCTTATCTTCTATTCTTCCATTGAAACCAGATGCCATTTTTTTCTTGGGTGATTATTTTAATGGTGGACCTTTTCTGACCGATGAAGAGTAAGTCTTGTTTAGTGTCTTGAATAGTTCAAGAAGTATTTTGCATGTCAATATAACCAGAACATCACTTCCCACCATGAAGTCATGTTTTAATTACTTCCAGTCATTGAAAGCATGATATTGTTCTCACTTTAAAATTTAAAATAGGGAAGGAGAAAAGAGTAAAAAGCGTGATGCTTTGTGGGAGTGGAGCCACGGGATTGTTGGAGATTTATTGAAAAATACAGTTCAAAGTAATTTCTTTTTGCATGGTCCTTAACTTTTTATAACTAAGTGTTGTGATTTATTAAATTGGATTGATATTTAAGTGTAATTTGTATTATTATTATTACTCCGTATTTATTATGAGAACTACAATTTTGCATGTGTAGTTGTGGTCTCTATAATAAGAATAATAATAATCAATTACGTACGTGGTGTTTTCTTATACACTATTGATAGTAAAAGTTTTAATATCAAAAGTTAGTTAGTGCCGCAGCACATTTTGGTTCAATCTCATTTTTTAATTAAAAGAATGATTGTGTTCTTTTGAAAAGGTACAATGTTTCAGGGTTACTAACCGTTTCCGCATTTGGCCAGTTCGGTTAAACATTTTCAAAGAGACACTATTCTACTTATAAATATGAAGGCCATGTTGAATTAAGTTGATATGGCAAAACTATTTTGTCAATCATCTCTCATTGCCTTACTCTATTACTATTATCTGCAGTATTAGTAATAAAGTGTTTAAACCACTTTATATATAAATCACTTGTTAAGTGTTATTTTATCAGTAGCTAAAATACACTTGTACACCTTCTTTTATCCCAAAAGTTCTATCTTGTAACCCGGTTACTGTAATAAGGGTAGATAGTAAATTTTTAGGAAAGCATATTTAATACGTGACTAGAAGTGATATCCGGTCCAGCCATAATTCGACACCCTTATATTTTTTACTATTTTCATCCTCCGGTTCTAACAGGGATGGGGGGGCTGGACCATGAATTGCAATACGTGTGGCCGTGTGGGTAGGGGGATTGTTTGGATACATTGTCTTGTGATAACTGTCTATGTATAGCACCACCCACTTTGGGTCAAGTGGGACTCTAAATGTGTAATTCTTCACCAACCAGCCAACCACAAGTGCACCATTAATTTATTTCAACAGATGGCAGGAATCCCTGGCATCGATATCATAGATCGATTCATGTTAGCCGACCCCAAATTCTTTTGGGATTAAGGCTTGGATGTTGTTGTTGTTGTAGATGGCAGGAATCCTGGAGCCGATTCAACCATATATTTAACCTGGACATGCTTCAGAGAAGTACAAATATTAAGTTGTACTATCTCCCAGGAAACCATGATGTTGGCTATGCTGCCTTCCACCCACGAATGCCAGAGGTATGTGGATCCGTCAAGTGTAGGCACTCTCTAAAATTTAATATGTTTGATATGTGAATTTCTGATTTGACCCATTGTTATTCCTCACAAGACATAATTATGTTTTCTGTTTATATGAATATACCTATGTACGTTTATCTGTATTATTAAATATCCTAGAGGCAATGACTTTTAATTATATCTTAGAGATTTTTTTCATGCTGTTTTCAAATTTGGACTGTTATTGGCAGACTTTCTGTTTTCCGTTTTCAAATTTTATTCTTTTTGCTTTTGGATTTTGTTTTTAGATACATTTTTCAATAAGTTGTTACATCTTCTGTCATTTGACAGTTTCTTATAGTTGCATATGTATCTGTTTTTATTTATATGCATTCAGGTTATCAGACGCTATGAGAAAGTATTTGGTATGAGGAACTACCATTTCAGACTTGGAAAAATCAACTTTATTAGTGTTGATGCCCAAACCTTGGATGGTAAGTTTCTTCATCTTGAGGTCATCTTCTTGTTTTGATTGAGTCATATTAGTTTGAGAATTTTCCACATTTCGTGCGTCATAGTGTAGGTATATTGCATGTTTTTCTCCATAGTGACATATTCTTGTGCAGTCTTTTTAAAATAAATGTGTCTCTTTATGATTGCTTATTTTCTTTGTGTCCGAAAAACACTCATTAAAATGTGTGATTCATTATTTTTGATATCCTGGACCATACTTACTACAGAGTACTATGAAGATGCTGATGGAATAACATTATTTCTCCAGGGCAGCCCCAGGGTAAAGAGACCGCTGCCACATTAGATTTTGTTAAAGATGTCTCCACGAGTATGGGAGTTTGTGTTTTTATTGTCTTTTTCATATTAATGTTTCCATTTCCGCTTTGTCCCTAATTTTTTAAATGGCCACTATGTAGATGTTTCTTCAAGTCCCACTGTACTATTAACTCATATCCCACTCTATAGACCTGATGGGACTTCATGTGGTCCTTATCGTTCATCACCAATCATTAATCAGGTAGGGTTAATATCTTTTCTTTGCTCATGGTGTTGGTAATATCCTAAATACATCGTATTTGTTAAATAATGCTTATAGTTCTTTATGCATTTCAGAGGATTAACCGTGCTGATCTTGATAAGGAGATACTGTAAGTTTCTTTCATGACTATATATGTTCCCCATTTTTGCGCTCTAGTATTGAAATTTAAATAAGTTTTTTGGTTACAATTTCTCACGCAGGTACCAAAACTATATAACTGAAGAACAAACAAATTTCTTACTGGAGTTGATCAAACCTGTATGTGTATTATCTTCATCCCATGATCTTTGCCTCCGAACGGAAAAATGATAATAAATTGAAACCTTGTGAAAATGTTTTTAGATTTTATTTCTAGCTAAATTAGTTTCAGTTTGTCCTTATGAAAAGAATCAAATTGAGTTTTTGTAGGCTCTAATCCTTTCTGGACATGATCATGATCAATGTACAGTAATGCACTCAACGAAGCATGGTGATGTAAAAGAGGTATCCACTCTTATTGATTTAGTATTTGAATTTTTATCAATAAAGGAGATGTTTGATGAATTACTTTATGCAGCACACTTTAGGGACCATAAGTTGGCAGCAGGGAAATTTGTTTCCCTCTTTTATGTTGTTATCTGTGAGTAACCTTACCTTACCAGACGGTTCTCCTCCAGCAAATGCCGTTTCCACTACTCTATGCTTTCTCCCTCTTCAAACATACATTTATATATGGTAATTATATTAATTTACACCAAATATATGTGGCTTACATTTAAAGTGGTTATACACTAAACCTATGCATGTTATAGGTATCTTGTGCTGTTAATCATGACTGTTCTTAGTATATTCTTCTGGCCCACAAATGGGTTTCCTTTCTTGCATCACCTAGGTGAGTACATGAAAAATGTAGTTAGTTTTAGCATGTCTGGAGGAGGGACGAAAGAGAAGAACGATGATGAAATCTATGAGTATGAGGAGGTATGGGATGCTGAAGGGTCGATGCACCTCATACGGAAAGCCTCTAAAGCTCCTCCTACACACTCAAGTCAGTCTTCGGTGGAAAGGTAATTCCCCTAGCCTTGCTGAATGTTTGTCAATAATAATCACCACCACCTTGATCTCAACAATGTCACATTGTATGAAACTTATAGGCTATGTTTATAACATGGAAAATCATAGGGCAAAAAAATGTTTAGGATTTTATCCCCTTCTTATGTTTGGTTTTACATTGGAAAATACCAAGGAAAATCAAATAAGATTAGTTAGTGTATAATAACAGAAATATACAAATAACATGAATCTGAACAATTATCTAAAGTTGATTCAGAGTTTCATCCCCCCCCCCCCCCCCCTATTTTCCAGGTTCAAAAAAGCCTGATAGTGTAAGTTAATCGTGTAAAATTTGTTACAACATTACAAGTTCGTACAAAATAGTTTACTTTTTAAGTATTACCTTCTTACACAAGAATAATGAGGCGGGTCATTCTAGTTATTTACTACTTGCATTGAAATTATCATGACACAACAAAGAGTTGAGATAGTTATTCTATTCAACTAGGTGAAGACCACAACGGGTTAACGTTATACTACATTAATTAACTGAACAGTTAAAATTAAACATGTTTACTTAAACTTTCCACCACCATTCAGGGGAAATGCTGTCATGCGTTCAGCTGCCAGAAAACAAAACGTTCCCGAGGTGGATATTTCAATGCCTCCTGATGTTGGGGGTGCGAAAGTGTCATCTCGGGCAAACAAAACTAAGTTGGCGATCAGGAGATTGTTACGGGTGTTTCGAGTGCTCTTTATAATAGCTGCCTTTAATGTCCCTCTATACATGATGCTGCTCTTCAAAGACTGGATCGACAAATGATACAAGGACTAAGCTTAGCTCATGTCCTCTTTTAACTATACTATTCATATAGTTACTGAATTTGTTTATTTTATGTTTAAACTTCATACTAACAATATCATTGTTATTGTTATTGTTATTGTTAGTATTACTGTTTTTTATGATCATTACTATTGATGAGTTAAGAGAATAATTTAGGTGATGAAAATATTTGATTCATTTGATGGATGGGAAATTACTACTATAAATTTATAAAATCGATATTATTTTATTAATTAACTTGAAAAGATAATAATAATGTATATGCTAATAATAATAGTACCAGTATTAATGATTATTTTTTATTTAAAACTTTTTCGGTTAATTTTTACTAGCTCCGCATTTTTATGAAGTTTCTTGTTGGTTCTTTAAAAAAATTGATAGCACAACTACTTAAAGAAACTAGTTTGTCTAGTCACTAGTGACGGAGAAGAAATGCAAATACCTGCACGGGTAGCTTAGTTGGTTCAGTGGTGGGAAATTTGGACCAAGTGACCAAGGTTCGAAACCCGCAGCGGTCGTGTGGAGGCCACAAAACCTGAAATAAGGCTGAACCTCTGGTGCGCACGGGAAAAAGGCCTATCATCATTGGGCCGACTGAGTTACCGTGATTAACATCCTCTCAAAAATCATGTCGGGTCGGGGTATGGGGAGCTTCTGGGGTGGGAGATTCCACCTTTTGGACCAAGGAGAAGAAATGCAAAAACACCATAGTCCGTCTAGTTTGACAACACATGTAGCCGCCGGTTTGGGTAGCCGCCGATAAGGATGCATTTGAACTCTCTGATCTCCGGATGACCAGTTGACCACTAAGGAGAAGGAACCATTAAAGCCTAGATTTTCCCTACTTTTCATATATACTAAAAACTCCCTCGCCCCTTAAAACTTGCCAAATTTGAGCGCACGTGGATTCATAAAGTAAAAACTGTGTGATTGAGGTTTGCGCAGAGCTGAGAAAATTAACTGGAATCACAAATTCTTTACTTAAAAGAGAAAATACAAAATTAGTGGAACAATCGAAAAAGAAAAGTTAACAAAGTTTTAAGGGACGGAGGTAGTGCAACCTTACAACTTTGTTCTAGATCATCATCATTACCCAGTGCTACAAAGGCTCACACCTTCGATGGGGGTAAGGGAGGATCGGATATACGCAATCTTACCCATGTGCTAAAACACATAGAGATTGTTTCTTAATGACTCATAGTGAAAATCATGTAGAAAAATTGCATGGACTGATTAATAGTTCATAACAAAAAAGCGCAGAAAGTTTAGTGATTCGTTTGCTTTATTCCATCATATTCTTAAGTCAAAAAATAGTGAGTCTTGACTCCAATCAAAATGATGAAAATAACGTTGTTCTAGATATCGATTAAAAAATACCAGGAAAATTTAGCGAGTAAAAGAGAGTGGAGCACTGGAGCGAGTAATATTCTGTCTATCTTGAAACTATATTACTCCCTCCGTTTCACAATCTTTGACATAGTTTGACTTGTCAAGAATTAAGAAAAAAATGTTACTGAGGGGTAAATTTTACTGTAGAGTACACTGTTTGGCACTGTTTGGACACTGTTTGGCACTGTTTGAACACTGTTTGGCACTGTTTTGCACTGTTTTGGTAAAGGTTTGTTTACCAAATAAGGAAATAAGGAAGTGTGTCATTGATTGTGAAACAGCTAAAAAAGGAAAGTGTGTCAAATATTGTGAAACAAATGTAGTACTCCCTCCGTCCCTAAAAGGATCGCCAAGTTTGACCATCACGTAGAATAATAAAGTAAAAACTGTGTGGTAGAGATTTGTACAGAGGAGAGAGAAATAACATGAGCCACAAATTGATTGATTAAAATGGAAAGTGGCAAAGTTTTTGGGACAACTAAAAAAGGAAAGTTGGCAAAGTTATAAGGGACGGAGGGAGTATTACATTGTGTGGCTGAAAATGAAAAATGTGTACTTGAGATTTAGCTTCAAATGAGCAAACTACTAATAACAATTAAAGGTGAGCAAGATTTGGAATGGTTTAGGATTATGGTTATTCTGGTTCCAAACTTCGACTCAGGAAAAACTTTTGCCTTAATCTTGTCTCATTTAAATAGGAAATGATGATTCAAACGTCCCCCAATAATTTTTTATTAATCTCTTGTCCCTAATATTAAATATTTTACTCCTCTATCTACCATTTAGACCATTTAGTATGTAGATTAATAAACTTGGTAAATGTTTCTCCACATTTACCTGTTAACCACAGGTTCAAAAAAGTATGTGGATTGTTCCATGCGCAAGTAATGAAATTTTGAGAGTTGGATCACTTTTGAAAAATCAAAAAAGTTGGATCAATGGATAGGAAAGCAACCACTTGCAAATTGGCTTAGGCCTTAGATTCAGGTCTACCTCAAGAGAATAAATAGAAGCAAAGGAAATGGTCTCTCCCCTTGGAGGAGTAGTTGAATTTGACTCTTCTTGATGGTTGACCGTTGAAAGAACCAAGCCGCCCTAAGGCATACTGTGCGGGCGACTCTTCTTCCTCTTGCGTGACAAATTCCACCAAACTATCTCACTCACTTTCCTTCCCCTTTTCTATATACACCACTCTCAACCAATTTCTGAAACCCCATTTCTTTTCTTCTTCTTCTCCAAGTTGGAGAAGCTTCTTCCCTGAAAAAATGGCAGATTCTTCGGAATTGGGCGGGACGCTAAACGACTCAAACGTGCTTGCGCTAACTGGGAAAGTGATGGTGGTGGCAGTCATAAGCCTTTTCTTCGCGGCAGTCTGTGTATTCCTCTTCCATCTCTACACCAGATGGCTCGCCCGCCACCCTCCCGCAGACAATTACGGCGTCAGCCTCTCCACCACCGCCCGGCGCCGCCGTCTTCAAGAAGAGGCCGCGGTGGTCCGCAGGGGACTTGACCCATCAGTACTGAAGGCAATACCAGTGATCCCGTTTAGCCGGAATGGTAAAGAGTTCAACTTTGAAGAACTGGAATGTGCAGTTTGTCTCAGTCAGGTGAGTGAAGGGGAAAAGGCGAGGCTTTTGCCCAAATGCAACCATGGGTTTCACGCAGATTGCATTGATATGTGGTTCCATTCCCATTCCACGTGTCCTCTCTGTCGAATTCCCGTTGTGGCTCCCACTGATGAATCAAGAATCGCAGAAGAAGAAGGTATGAGGGTGACAGAGCAGATCACCCTGGCAGCTTCTGTTGAGATCTCCATTCAAATGCCACCATCATCATCATCATCTTCATCTTCTTCTTCATCCTCATCAGCAGCTGGATCAAAAGGGTTGAGTAGCAGGTTAAGAAGGGAGGGTAAGTTGGTAATTGACATTCCTAGGGAGATTATTGAAGAGGATGAAGATAATAAATTGTCTCCAATGGTTACCAGCAGAATGAGGTCCATTAAGAGACTATTGAGCATGGGAAAGAGGGTTACCCCCAGGAGTCCTAGATGCAACTTTGACTTAGAACAGAGTTGTGGAAAAAGTCAAAGTCAAATCTGACCAGAGCGCATAGCCTGAACACCAGGCAGGAGAGCACCAGTAATGCAAATGGTCAAGTATTGCAGCTTTAGAAGAGGATAAGATGAGATTCTACACATTGTTATATATGTTCATTTGTTAATATGGTTATTTAAGCAGGAAAAAACATAAGCCTTAATTAGGCATCCTGTTAAAGCACGTACTTTAGAGTTTAGACGTGTCTCTCTGTCTGCTTCAAATGCAAATTGTTGTGTGATTATGTGATATCAAGATTATTTAGTGTCCATTTGGTTAGTTTCTTCTTCTTCTTATGAGCACTGTCTTTTATCAATGTTTTTTTGTTGTGCGGAGGGGCTAGTAATGGATAAGATTATAAGGGATGGATATCCAACCCTGTGGTAGGTGGAAATCCGAGAGAGATACTGAGAGTGCTAAGTAAAAGTGAGTAAAAAAATCGGCAGAGTAACAATAAGTTTTGCTCAAGAATTTGGATCTCTTTCTACAAACTGAAAGGTTATATTTATATTGTAAAAGAAATACTTGGTGCCCAAGCATAAAAGATGCTATCCTAATGTGGTGGCGACACGTGTAGTACTTGGCTATCAAGTAAAATGTGCTAGTTTAATTACATAGTGACACATGTAACATTTGATTGACAAGAGAATGAAGAGTTGTCAAAAGTTTTAACAGACAACTGGCTGAAATCACCTTGAGTTAAAAACTTTTGCTTTTTCAAATCTACATTTCCAGGATAAAACCTACATTGGTTATTGAATATATGTTTTCTTGGGAGCGCATGTTGAACAAGACACTATTTTTGGATTTTGGGAAAGCTAGTTTGAGTATATTTTTTAGATGGGCTAAAGTGCTAAATATGTTAAACGTAAACCTATAGTCAAACAATAAAACAAATTGGGTTGGACTTCAGCACTATAAAGTCTGCCTTAATGTTCCTGCGGGTAGTTTGTAGTGAACTGGCAATTAGCAAAGTACAAATAAGTAATCAAAGTAATGATAATATGGTATACATGTATATATAATTATAAAATTATACTCCCCCGTCCCGAAAAGGTTGGTCAAAGTTGACTTTCACGTGGATTAATAAAGTAAAAACTGTGTGGTTGAAATTTGTGCAGAGGAGGGAGAATTAATTTGAGCCACATATTTCTTACTTTAAACGGAAATGGCAAATCTTTTTGGGACATCCAAAAAAAGGAAATTTGGCCAACATTTTCGGGGCGGAGGGAGTATAAATTAATAAAATTATAATTCGGTCCGGTACCGGTTCTCATATTATGAGAACCGGTCATGGCATGGTTTGGAACCGGTCCGTTCCGGTTCGGGACAAATTTTTTTAAAACCGTTTGAAACTCTGTTTTTCGGTCTGATACCATACCGGTCTGGTTCAGTGCCATGCCAGTTCGGTCATTTTGCCCACCCCTACTATGATATATCCTAATAGCTTGAGAATTAGACTCGAAAGGATGATATAACTCTGGACCATAATACAGTACTCCTAGATAATTTTTCTTTGGAGTAGCAAGAAGAGCAACAATACTGTTAGACTAGACTATATTATTGTGAGCTGGAAAGACTATTCAATCACTTGTTTCTTTGCTATCATTTAATGAATAAATTAGTTATTTGATTTAAAAAAAACTTTGGACCATTATAAAGTACTTCTATGAAAATATATAT